CGGAGTGTCCGCTGGGCACCGCTGGGCATCTCTCCTCGCTCCTCTCCCAGGCGGAGCAGATGACGGTAAATCAACTTCTTTCTCGCCTACCATCGCGGGGTTCGCCGCCTGCCCCTTCCCGGCCCTGCCGGTCATCCCCGGCGCAGAGCGTTCGCTGTTAGATCCGCACGGGGCAGATGGGGAACGTGGTTTTAATCGGCTTTGCTGAGGCCTGGAAGGAGCCGCGTGATGTTGGTGGGCAGCGGGGTACGGGAACGATAGGTACATGGCTGGGGGCTCGGCCGCCGTTCCCGCTCGCCCCTCGGGAGCGGAGGTAGGGGGTGCCCCTGCAATTGCGCGGGGGGGATGGCGCCGGGCGGCTCCCAGGTAGCGGTGTAAGGCTGAGAGGTAAGCGCTGGGGGGGTTGTAAAGGATGCGAGGCACAAGCAGCTAGCTTGAAACCCTCAGGAAAGACGTTCAGAGGTTGAAGGTGCACGCCTTGGTTTGCTTTCTGGGTTTGCTGCCTTGGTCTGTAGTTGTTCCCTTAACACGCGAATGTGAGCGTTGGCCTCATGTGGTGCCACGGATGTGGGATAAGCTACAGTGGGCTGTGAGGGTGTGCATGCTCGAGCTGGCCTAGTCCCATTGCCCTTTTCCCATTGCCCTTGCTTAGAGAGATGTCTTGTCCGCAGCCAGTGAAGCTGCGCTGCCTGCAATTTGAAAGAAGGATTCAAACCCTAATGGGGCATTGCCTTTACTGGTGCAAAAGGGCACGTTCCTCCCATGGACTGTGTCTGTTTTCTGTGGTTTGCAGATACCAGCTGTCACCCATGTGTGTTTCGCTGACCAGAAGACATAGATGTCCCTTGTGAGCGAGTCCTTGCATGAGCGTTCTGAAGATGAAAACCTACATAAACTCTTAAAGCACACCACCTGAGAACGTTGCTACCGACATGGACATCGTTATTTATTTATGGATGCTTTAATCAGGAGGAGCTTTTTTGTAAACATGAATTGCTGGGCTCTTTCCTTGAGGTGTCGTTTCTTGTTTCATGCTGTTGAAATATTCATCTTAACTTATTATGACTCCTTTGTGTTGGTCAGCTCTCAGGGACATTTCCCTAGGCTTGAAAATGTGGGAGCTTTCAAGAATGTGTCAATCGTGCCAACTCAAGCCACTTGTGGGCTGCCAGAACGAAGTACTTTTTGTCATAGCTCAGTAGCTGTTGAAAGTATTCTGTCCTGCACCCAGAGGTTTTGTGTTCAGGAATGTCCGTACAGGTCATCGCCTTCTTCCTACAAACTGCTTCTTTCAGAAGGCCTTGGCACCTGTATCACAGAGGACAAAAGGGACTTGCATCCAGGGTCCTTCAGCAATGCTTCCAGCTTTATTTTTCATAATCACAAGGATTGCTTCTCTACTCCCCGTTCTCTGAGGCTTGCAGCTTCATTTACGTTAACTGTATGGTTGAAACCTGAGCAAGAAGGTGTAATGTAAGTAGCGTTGAAGGTGTTTACTTTCTTGGTGCTCTTAAAAGAAAACCCAACGGTGGTTGTAGTCATGGTTGTTATTAGCAAGGTATTTAAAATTTTAAAAAGGTACAGTGAGAAACTGTGTCGTTTTAAAGCTGTATTTAGGTTGGGGTCTTTGTAAATGACAAGACAAGTAGGGTCAGTTAAAGTGGCATTGGCTCAGATGATAGTCCAGTTGCGTTCAGTGGGGATTATTGATATATAATGTGAATGTCTGTTCTGAAGAATCTAAATTAGTATTCAGACTGCTAGTGGAGCTCCACTAGGTGTTTATGAAATAGACGTGGCTGAGCATGCTCCCTCTCTTAAACACATCGTGTTTTCATCAAATATTTCTTTATAAACTTCAGCTTGACTGGGCCTTACTATAATGTAAAACTTGCTTAATGAAAAATGGATCACAAATCCTGCAAAAAACCTTCTCTTCATCTACCACAAAATGCAGAACTTCCTCTTTTTTTCACCCTGATTGTGCAGATCCTCTTTAATGTGAAGCCCACAAAAAGTATAGTATGTTCCTTCAGAGTATGGCACAGATGTTTTTGAACTTGCCCTCGTAACTTATACTTTGAATGAAACCAATGGTCTGCTCTGTTGTAGCATTCTTGATACTTATTTTGCATGTTGCTGTGGAAGAGCATGTTGTCTAGGAGTGTGAAAATCATCAGAAACAATGTAGATGTCTGAATTTGTAATGATACAGTCTTTTTATGCAAGGATAATTAATAAAATCCACCTGGCTATAGAAATTATGGTTATGGAAGGCAAATAAATGACACCTGTGTAGCACAAGTGGCTTTAGTTTGAGCTTAAGTTAAAACAGCTCACCTGAAGGTATATGTAATGGTGTCTCTGGAACTTTGGCCTAGTGTCTTTCACAGACAGCATTTTCTATAGAGTGGTTGAATCTTGAATGCCAGGGAGTCTGTTCCTGGGCTAGTCCTATGCCATGAGTTCATGTCCACACATGCAGCATATCAGTGTTGTTCAACAGAGTTCAACTTGAAGCAGAAATGTTCTGCTAATTTCCAAGCAAGCTGTTGTAGTGATTTGTTGAAGGAGATTTGTGAAACTCTTTTGTCAGTGGGATAGACTTTTGCTTGCATGAAGCCTAAAACAATTAAATGTATGTTTTTAGTTTCAAATGATTAAGTGCTGTGCAGAAACCACTCTACTGATGTCTGATTATCCGTGGACTAGTGTAAAACATTAGCCTCCAATTGCTACTGTGTTAATAACTACACAGTGTACATATTCCCGTTCAGTGGGTTTTATAGATCACTTTAAAATCTAAATGTTTTTATTCAGTTTTTATAATAGACCACTTAATTCTTCTGCCTTGTGAGGTTGCTGCTGTTCAACATGTAGAAATGGCAATGGTAGAGCCCAGTCCTGAAAAAGTGAAGTTGGACGACAGTTATTCCAGTGGTCAGGATGATAGGCCTCTGTCCACACTCTTTGTTCACAGAAAGAAGCATGTTAATTTTTCTTTCTTCGTAAAAGGAATACAGAGCTCTAGTGTTGGTGAAATGGTAATTTCACCATGAATAGTCACTGAAGCTTGACTCAGAAGGCATCCTACAAAAGAGAAATGGTTTAACAGCAAAGTAAGATGTCTTTCCTTTTATTGTACTGGTTTAGTGAGTTCTTCAGGTTGGCAAAAGGAATCTGACTTACCAGATGTCCTACATTTTGCAATCTCTGATGGGGAATTGTCTCTGTTAGATGTCATTTGTGAGACCTTTTAAACCCCATTATCACAGCAGAGGGAATTCACGGAACTGGGACTCATTTGAACAAAGTCTTTGTGCTGCCACCAAAGCACTAGGAAGGTGAGCCAGAACCAGCTGCTCATTTGACCAGTAGAGTAATTGCAAGTTTAACAAGGTATTTTGTTTACTGGCAAAGTGCTCTTACATCAAGTACAGCAGACCCATGGTTTTCGGACATGCTATAATAATGTGTTTCTTTGTGCTGAATATTGTATGGTCTGGCTGCTAGAAAGCGTCGAGGAAAGAGTGTTGCTCTATAGTATCCCATTGTGCCCTTGCAAAGACTGTGACATTTCTGTTAGGCATGTGCTCGTGTAAAGAGAATAGCAGGGTTTTTTTCTGCAGTAAGTTACTCTGCTGACTGAAGTGAGAGATACTGATGTGAGGATCCAGTCTGAAGGCCCTTTAAAAACTGTGACATTCTGGTGGAGCAAATTTATGTGGATAATCAAAGGCACAAAGAATTCTCTTTGTTGGTCTCATAGACCGAGTTTTCTTATGTGAATCTGGGAATTAATGCACTTTCATACAAAGAGAGAGTAAAGTCAGGTTATGTTACAGGTTTATTTGAAGCCCTAATGTTCTTCTAAGAGGTATAGTATAGATATTTGTAGGTATGCTTTCAAGTCACTGCATACTGGAAATACTGAAGAAAAACCAGAGAATAGTGAGAAACCACTGACATTTGTACTCTAGCGTTTAAATGTACTTTCCCTTTAGGCAGTAAGTGCAATAAGCAAGCAGAGCTCTTGTCCCTGAATTTTATTCTTTCCCCATGCTTCCTCTCTCACTGCATGTACTTATCAGTTAATATAAACGTATTCAGTAAGCCTGTGTGCAGCCTGTAAGTAAGCCTTAGCACAATATAGGAAATTGTATATGATGATAACCCTTCACAGTGAAATAGGAGAAGAATATGAGTAGAAGCTTAGCATGTATTAGTAATCATTACAGGTAGTTTATACCAGTTTAGTGTGAACTGGGCTAACTGGGAGTTAGATGACCAGAAGAGAGAAATGAGCTGGGTCCTTTTACAGGCAGAAGGGTCAGAGGGAATGGCCTGACTGTGAAGTGGGCAGTAGATGTAATTTTGTTAACTTCATCAAAAGGACTAAAATCATGTCTTATTAGTTTAATCAGATGCTCTACATTACGAATTAGACTGAAAAGGGGATTTGCCTTAAGATGCTGTAGATCTGATTTTGAACCCGTGCAGATGTTCTCATTTGCAGGTGCTCCTGTTAATGTATTGGGATTACCAGTGCAGCCATGTTAGGTTCTCTGGACTATTTTTCTCTCTGAAGGCTTACCAAGCAGATTTGCACTGTTTGTTTTTGCTCCTTCCAACCCCATCTTAGAGAATTATGTAGCCAGGAATTGGCTCTGTGGAGCTGCAGGTTACCAGAAGTGGGAACTTCACGAAGAACTGTGGTTTCTCTCTGAAATCATGGCTGGAATGGAAAATCGTGCTCAGTCAGAAGTAGTGCTTATGCCTATTTCACCTATGTTAGCACTAATTTGGCTTTTTTCTTTTTCTTTTCCTCCCCCCACCTTCCATCCTTTGTTTTCTGCCTCTTGATTTTTTTTTTTGCTCTTTCAATAGTGAGTTACAACTCACATTTGTTCTTTCCAGTTTTCAAAGTGATGTACATCAAGGTCGCTTCCCTTCTTAAAGTCATGACACCTTTGGGGATAAAAACAATGTGGGGATGTTTGTTTTAGATAACCAAAATAAACAAAAAACTGGATTATCCAATTATTGTTTATCCAGGAACTGAGTAAATCCAGTTCCTAAATATTTTGCTACTTAGCTGAGCCTTCTCTCACATTTATTATCTAGCAAAACTAGCATGTTTACAAGCAAACAAAATATTGAAAAGACCAGTCGAGGATATATGAAGAAACATGGTTTTAGTAAGGTTTGGAAAACAGAAGTCTGTATCTTGCAAGTTGTTTTATTGACAACATTCCAGAAGGCTGAAATGGTAACAGTTAAGATGAACGAATATTTCTCTTGCATTTAAGGGTGAATTGGGGAATAATGGCAGTATCAAAGAACAGCCTTTTTGATACTTTTATAAATACATAGTAAGTGAAGATGCTCATCAGTAGATAAGTGTTTTGTGCTTCTTCTGGAGTACATCTAAGTAAATCTTGGTCTCATACAAATTTTATATGCTGCTCTCTTGTGACTTAGTGCACTAATTTAGCCTGGTGTAACTGTTAAGATATTTGACTTTTCATGGGTCAGTAAATTGAGGACTGGGTTTCTCAAGCAGCTGAAATGGAAATGCAGAACTTCATAATTTTTGTTCTACTGATGATGACCTTAATAAAACAGATTGCTGTTTCACAAGCATATATAGCCTATGCTTTCTCAGGACCCTTGGCATCATGGTGATTGGGCTGGCAAAATTATTTCATCAGCTAGATATGCAATGTTGCTATGAATGGTATTCTTTGTACCTTATATGTGAGTGTTGTATTTGGTATTGACGTGAAATCTTTGTGTGTAGGGGGAAAAACTAACAAGCCTTGCCTTGCTCTGGTTTTCTTAGGTTAGAGAAAAGCTGTATCAAAGGGAGAGTGTAGGGGAAGCTGCTGCCTTACCTGGGCAGATACGGTGGAAAGATGGAGCACTTATTTCCAGAGCATGTCATTTGTGCTTTTTGTGGTTATGTTGCATTTGCCTTGTAAGACTAAAAAAACCAGATGAAGTGCCTCCACAGAAGGTACTGTGTTGCACAGCTTTGTCTGAGAAGTACAGCAGAGACCTGTGCAGTGCTGGCCACTATGGTTTCCATCACTGAACCCTGAAGAAAGGAGGCAAAGTGGACCCCTCTTTCACCCCCAGGTGAACTGGGGTTGCATGCACTAAATATAAAAACAAATAAAAGTAAATCTCACAGATTAAGACGGAGAAAATATCTTTGTTAAAGTCCTTTTACACTTGGTACATCCTGTGACTTTCACTGTCACTGAGCATCTTCTCAAGAGCCGTATTTCTAATGTTTATTTTAATACGTTCTGGTTAGCATCACTTTACAGGATAGCACCTTGGCAAGAATGTGTATATGTGTGTTCCTCTGACCTTATGTTGTTTTTCTTGGTTATTTCCAAAGGTGTGTAATAGAAAAGGCTATTGATGGGCAGACTGTGTTCAAACTCACAATCTCTGAGAAAGAGGCCATGTTTTATTATCGCACAGTAAATGGTTTGCAGCCACCAATAAAAGTAATGACACTGGGGAGAATTCTTGTGAAGAAATGGATTCATCTTAGTGTGCAGGTGAGTAAAATAAAACCCATTTAATATTTGTTGAAATACAACATTTGTGAGTGGTGTAACTGTATAAATATAAAAGGGTAAATTGGGGGATGTAAATGAGAACTCTTGAGTCTTGGAGGCAAGTATCTTGATTTGGGAACTCATTTTGAGGCCATTAATAATTTAGCACTGAAAAGAAATGCTGTGCCCAGTCCAGACAAGACTGGAAATTCTCACTCTTTAGAACACCAGTATTTGGGGTGAAGAAAAAACCCCTGCTTCTAACATTTCTAACAATACTTTTACTATTTATAACATTACCAGTAAGTATTTGGTCTCTGAGATTTTTTCCTTAAAAGGAGGATATCATCCTTATCTGTACGTTCTAATGTACTTACCTCACAGAGGCGTGCACATAAGTAGAAGTGTATGAGTGTGCAGGATCAAGCAAGTGAGGAAGTTATCTTACTTTAAACATCTGATTCAGAATTGTTAAAACACAATGCTCGTGTTCTAAAAGTCTTCCGTTGACATAATTTTTTAATAAGTTTACAAATATCCACTGAGGATAAAGCCGAATTGAGTTTGTTAAAATTTGAACCGTATGTACAAAAATCAGTAAACAAACACAGAAGAAATTAAAATTCACTTATTTGCATGTCTTGTAATTCCCAACAGATGCTCTAGTAAATGCTATTTGTAAGCCAAGTTCAACTAATAATTATAAACCACAATTATCAGGTATTGAAATGTTTATCTTCTTCCTTCCTTCATTTCCTTTATCCGTTCTATTAAATTTCATTTGGTTTATAGCAAAATCAAGCATAGTTTTGCTGCTTTCTTGAAAGTCGCTAAAAGGTATTGACTGTGATTTGGGTTTTTAGTGCTGATCTTGTCACTTGTAAGAAGTATTGAAGCTGACATCTTGATTTTTTTTGCAGTTTTCTTTTTTTTTCCAGGATAACAGCATGGTAGTGCAAATAAGATTTTGGCTGTTGGATTAAAAGAGTGACCTTAAGTTAGAACTAATGAACTTTACACTTCAGACACTCCAAGGGTGCTATATTGCTGCTGTTGCTGTCAGCTGCATTTTGTACTAGCCTCAGAAACTGCTAAAGCTTGGGATAACTAAGTGAAGAGTGAAAGGGCTGAATTTAAGTACACACATGTATCTTGAATTGTATTACAAAGAACCCTCAAGCACCTTCTAGAATTTAGACCTTTGCTTCTGTGGGGGGATTTGTTCAATGCATAGCTGGAGTAAAGAAGTGTAGTTTCTAGACCCTTACAGGGACTGCAGGTTTAATACCTTTCCCAAGTTTCTGAGCTCAGCGTAGAACTTTACATTCTGTGGTTTGTCGTATTGTAGGATTCAACTTTAACTATCATTAAAGATGATAGTGGCTGCAGCATGATCCATTTAGCACTAGATCTGGCTATGAAACTTTAGGTAAAGGGTTTAGGGTTTTTTTTGGAGCTTGGGGTTTTTTGTGGTGTGGGTTTCCGTTGTTTTTCCTTTACTTTTTAGCAGCAGTCCAAAAGCATTTTTTTCCTTGAATGGAGAGAAAAATGGAAAATGAGAATGAGAGACAACCAGGCAAAAGTAATATTCATATGGTGCTGTTTGTGTCTTTGGACATTAATAACATTTGATGATTGTAGATATTTATATCTCATGATAATACATATATTTGAATACAGGCGTTTCCTTAAGCTGATGAAAATGTCTTCTGAAGATAAAGCGCTATGTAGTTTTCTAGGTATGGGCATGCAGAGAAGACACCCTTCTCTGGGCTGTAGATGGGCTGCGTGGGGTAGGGGCAGCAGAGTGGGGCTGAATGCAGTAATGACCTACTACTACTTTGAGCTTTTCCATGTAAGTCAGACCATGGAGACTTCCATGCTGTTCTGTTCAGGCAAAACTGCCTCTGATAGCTGTACAGGATTAGCAGTCTCAGTTCTGTGTCACTGATGTGTTTGTTTTTCAGCGGGTTGGTTGTAGTTTGTGAACGCGCGAC